TTTTCACATATGCCCGCCGTCTGTAAACGTGGGTTTTCGCCCATTTCCCCATGCGTGCACGGAGAACACTGGGAATGTCACCCGCAGATATCGTTACTGGCGGCGCGGGCGGTGCCGCGATGGCCGGGGGCCCCGGGGCACTCCTTCGCGAGCACGTGGTACATTGTCTAAGAGGGCTCGACACGCCCCGCACCTCGCTCGAAAACGCCCACGCCGGCTCCAAGGCGTCTCCCCGAATCCCGAAAACACCCGACGAGAGCCTCACGCAGCTTCCCAAGAGGCTTCCAGGGGCCAACTCAGTCAATATCCCACGGGTTTAAAACGTGTTTCGGGTTCCAACTTGTTCTGCTATCTGACGCCTCTTTCAGATCAGGGCTTTCCCACGACCGCGCCACGACGGTCCCGCAGGCCACCATACAGGCCCCGATCTATTGCACGAGGCTTCGAATACGAGCCGGCGCTGGCGGTGCCGCGCTTACCGGGGGCCCCAGGGGAATCCTTCGCGAACGCGCGTTAGACTGTACACAAAGGCTCCGACACACCCCGCATCTCGCCCCAAGACGCCCTCAACGGCTCCCAAACGTATTTTCACATATGCCCGCCGTCTGTGAACGTGGGTTTTCGCCCGTTTCCGTGTGCGTCCACGGCGAGCACTGAGAATGCCAGCCGCAGAAATCACGGTGCCGCGATTGCCGGGGGCCCCGAAGTACTCCTTCGCGAGCACGTGGTACATTGTCTAAGAGTGTCTCGACACGCCCCACACCTCGCTGCATGACGCCCACGACGGCTCCAAGACGGCCCCAAAAACCTTGAAAAGACCCGACGAGAACCCCACGCACATTCCCAAGAGGGCTTCCAGGGGCCAGCTCCGTCTATGTCCCACGGGTTTAGACAGTGCGCTTTGCGACATAATCTGGGTTATTTTCGGGCGTCCCGCCATCACTGTGTATGGTTGACTTACACGATGGCAGGGGGCATCATTTTACCCCGTGCGTGCAGGCCCATCATCCCTTTCAAAAGCACTGCAATGTGCACGTGGCGGCAAAAAACACCGACCCCGTAGCGTGTCATCAGCGTGTGAAATGCTTCCCCCTCTCCCAACCCCTCCCCCAGAAGCCCGGTCCGGTCGATTTGGAGGGAAGGGGCTCCGCCTGGATCCTGGCCCGAACGCATCATGGGAGGATAGAAGGCCCCACAACGGGCCAAGAGGGCCACGGCCCCAGATGCCCCAGGAGGCCATCCCAAGAGGACCCCAAGAGGCAACGCTCATTGTATTGCAATTCGTTTGTTAATCGTTTTAGCGTTCTCGACTGTTCGATTTTTCGAACATTTCCCACGGCGGCCTAAGACGCTCCCAAGATCCTCCCAGGCGGCCCCAGATGCCTCCAAGAGGGCCCCGAAAAGGGGAGAGAGGGCACCCGCACGGCCTCAAAGACGGCCTCAAAGGCCTCCAACATAGCCCCAAAAAGCCAATCGACTTAGGTCGGGCATGTCCTCCTACAGGCGGAATTTGGAAGAACAATAAATAGTAGCCAAAACATATTCAACCATAGGATCATACTAAAAACACGTCCCCCGACTATGTTATACTATGTTTGAATTTTCTTCCTGTAGAAGGACACGCCAGACTTAACCCTTAGACAGCAACAAGAAGAACTCCGAAGGTGAACCCGAGCCCGCATTTCGAGCCCTCGGCTCTCCAAGGCTCCTAAGGAGCCTCCACGAAGCTCCAAGAGGCCCCCCCTAGAGGCCCCCACGAAGCGCCCAAAAGAACACCAAGACGACCCCCAAAGGGCGCCCGAGAGGCCTTCAGGAGCAACGCGCCGCAACCGCCAGTCACCCAAAGGGTCGGCGGTGCGGCGGAGCCCCAAGAATCCACGTCCGGAAATGACGTGTTGAGCGGCAGCGTTTTTCGGCGAACGCCTTGATGCAACGTCTCCCATGTATCCAGTAGTTATATAATTGCTACATCTGGTTTCATTTTTATTCTTAATCGTTAGGTCTCCCCTCTAACCCCCCCTTGGAGTCCCGCTACTCCGTTGGACCAAGGTGTACCTCCCCCTTCTCGTGCTCCCAAAACCTGAAACAAACCATACGAAATCAACGATTTGGGCGTCTTGGGCCTCTTGGAAGCTGTAGACTGCTGCGAAATTGCCCAGGATGGCTGCGGGGCTGGCCAAGACAACTCCGAGACGTCCCAAGATGGCCCATGCAGATCTCATGAGGCCCTCAAGACAGCCCAAGAGGGACCCCAAGATCGCCCACAACAGCGCCCCCTTGAGACCGAAAGCATTGATTTCCCTTTGGGCTTGTTTAAAGGACTACCGTGCTCTTGCCTGCTTCGAGTTTCGCGCGTCCATGACGAGAAGCAGCGTCAAAAATTGCGGCAAGCAAAGCCAACGACCCCCCCCACTTTAGCCTGAGACGGCCCTGGAAGGACCAGAGGCGGCCCCCAAGACGGCCCATGAGGCCCCCACGAAGGCAGGAGGAGGAGGAGGAGGAGGAGGAGGAGGAGGAGGAGGAGGAGGAGGAGGAGGAGGAGGAGGAGGAGGAGGAGGAGGAGGAGGAGGAGGAGGAGGAGCGCGAGAAGCTCCCAAAACGGCCTCCGGCGGGCCCGACGGGCTCCGAACCCGCCAAGGAGGGCCCCCCAGACTGACCGACGCGGCCCCACGAAGCCCCCCAAACCCGCCGATTGGCCCCCCAAGACGGACCGACATGGCCCCACGAAGCCCCAAAGGACCCTCCGAAAAGCCCCCCAAGACGGACCCACATGGCCCCACGGAGGCCCAAAGAACCCTCCGAACAAAAAAAACGAGCAAACCGAGAGGTCCCCGAGAAGCCTCACTGGGGCGCTCGACAACGCCCATGCGCATCGCGCGGGGCGATGCATCCAACAATTCCGCAACTTGGTCCTCCGTGCACGTGCGACGCTTGCACAAGCGGTGCTCCGACCGGATGCTGTCTTGTTTTTTCGGGGATGTTGACCTCGGGGGCCCTTGTGCGCTCATTTTTGTCATTCGCATCGGGCTGCCAGCGGGAGCGCGTGCGCTCCGCGGACAGCGCTGGCGCAGCACGCTGCCAAGTCGCCGATTCCAGGCGAGCTTCGGGCGAAGCGCAAGAAGGCGTGAAGGGCGGTGCGGAGCAGGCCTCCGGAGGGGTCAGACGGGCTCCAAATCCGCCAAGAAGGCCACCAATCGCCCGCGCGCTTTCTGCTATTCGGACGCGCACCCCGCGAAGCGAGAGGAATCACAAGCTTGGCTCCCAAGAGGAATGACAAACTTGGCTGGGATGCTTTGAAGGTACTCCTCGGTGTGTGAAGCTGGCCAACAAACGTCTCAGGCGAGGGGAGCACGTGCAAGTTCGCAATTGGCGAAAAGTTCGGGGCACACGTCGGGCGTGTGGAAAGCTAAGCAGCCTGCCGAAGCCCCGGCCTGTACCTGTCCGAATGGACTAGAAGCGGGAAGGTAGCCATTGGCGAAGCCCTAACTCCAGACAGGCACGCGGCAAAGTGTAACCAGGGCCCCCCCCCAGGGCAACGCAGATCCAACAATGTGGTTGAGAAGCGTTCTTTCCTCCCCCTGCCACATACCGCTCCAAGCTGGCGTCTGGCTCTCACCATGGCTGTTCTGAGAACTGCGTGCAATTGGGAACCCTGTAGCTCGGCAGCCATTGCGCCTACGAGTGTGAGCTTGCTGGTGAGATGGCATCGACGAGCAGCACGAACGAAAGCGACAACCTTCCGATGCACAGACTGGGCTTTGCACATGTATTTCGATTCTGACGAGCATGACGAGCTCTTCCTCCTCAGTCGACACGGGAATACCCAGCCTGAGCCTGATGGCAAAGCTCAAAGCCTGCAAGTTGCAGCTTCCGCGGTATGTACTTGGCATCTTCCACGTTCGAGTATAACATCACGATATTGGGAGACACCTTGACATATTGGCTTTCAAGGAAGCAACATGTGTCGACCAGGCCTTTTACAAGGATCGTCTCAGCTAGTGGCGAAATGCATTCGTTCGTTGGGAGAAGTCATCGATCCAGATTCGTGTGCCCGTCCCAGGGTGAAGAGCGGTGATTTGGGGTACGTCTAACTATGTCGAACAACGTGCAAACCAGGCCCCCCTCTGAATCCCTGTACTATGCTGCCCGTCGGTTCGATGGGTTCGGCAAGAGCTCCAGGTTGCCCGACAGCACGAGACGCCGGGCATTGAAGAACTTCCACATGCAAAATGACAGCTGGGGAATCAAGACGCAACGCTGCGGGCATCAACAAATTCCATTCCATCGCGTCGCAAAACCCGGGGATATCCAGCACAGCATGGCCCGAATGAGTACTTTAAACACACGATTATTTTCCCCACATGCCTGTATTAACGTTTCACGTAACCCAACATTATCAGATATGCCCGCGTCCCACGCAGGCTCTGGCCCAGAGGCCCACGACAGAATGACTCTTGCAAACGTAGTGCGCAAAGCAATTACGCGGTCTCCCGAATATCCCTTGGGAATCATAAGACCACTTGTGAGGCCCGGCTGGGCTGGCCTCGTTAATGTTTCTTGGATGACACTGTAGAGTTGTGAAATCTCCAACAACGCCACGTCTGGCTGGCGCTCAGAATCGATCGGGGACAGGACGTCCACTACTATCCCAACACGGGGACGCATGGCGTGCGCAGCTCGTCGGATCTCAGAGACCGTGAGGGGTTCCGGGGGGTCCTGCCTAGAGGGAGAGGAAGGAAGATGGGGACGTGGAGAATAGGAGGAGATGACGCTACAACGGCTTCGAATACTTCCACGATGCTGGGCGCGGGAGGAGGAGGAGGAGGAGGAGGAGGAGGAGGAGGAGGAGGAGGAGGAGGAGGAGGAGGAGGAGGAGGAGGAGGAGGAGGAGGAGGCGAGGATGATGAGGAGGAGGAGACGGATGAGGATGAGGAGGAGGAGCGAGCGTCCAACGGTGCAGTCTCCTCCCGCCTAAGCCGCGCGCCGCGCACCCTCTGAGCCTCTCAGGGGCATGGCGTAGCGGTCGGGGGTGGTGACCTCGACGGCGGTCGAGAACGTGTTCACTGCAAGCGCCTCATCGGACGTGAAGTTCGGTGAGTCTGTGTCGATCTCCGCGCCCGCAGGGGCAGAGACGATGGCGGGGGGAGCCCCCGCCGAGTAGAAGGAGACGGCCTCCATGACGCCGCACCGGTCGGTGATGCCGCGCACGATAAGGAAGTCGACGTGAGCGAGGAGAGCCTTGCTGCAGGAGCGAGGCTGCAGTAGATCGTTATGCCGAAAGAAGCGTGCGCCAGGCATCACATGCCCATTAAGGTGCACACCAACTTCAGTATCACGCACGCTCTGCCCCGAAGTGCTGGCAGCGATGGGACCCAAATCACACCCTTGGTCATCAGCGTCTGCGCCATGAAGCCCTTGCCCAGGGAGTAGCAGCGCAGCGCCTTCAGGGGGAGGCCGCCCAGCGCCGTCAGGTGGAGGAAGATGCCCCGCCGGAGGCGCATGTGAGTGCTGAGTGTGACCAGCAGCGGCAGGACCTGCAGCAGCTCCGTCGACGTGAGGCTGAAGCCCATCAGGGGGTGGAAGTACAGCGAGTGCGCCAGCAGCATCGTCTGGTGGAGGAAGAAGCTCAGGGAGAGCATGACCAGCATCGGCAGGACCCGCAGCAGCGCAACTCTCATGAGGCAGAAGCCCAGCAGGAAGCCGACGAACAGAAAGCCCGCCAGCAGCATCGACTGGTGGAGGAAGAAGCTCAGGGAGAGGGTGATCAGCAGCGGCGGGACCCTCAGCAGCACCATCGTCAGCAGAAAGGCCCAGAAGTCCAGTAGGCTCCACATCCCCATGCAAGCGAGGCTGAGGACCATGGTGTCCACCACCTTCATGCGGTGGCCCCGACATGTTGAGAGACAGGTCGTCAGTCTCAACCTTGGTGACTGATGGCGGAGCAGTTTGGAGAACAGCATGTGCACTGGCGCCAGCGTCAAACGCAGGAGCAGCGGCTAGCCCAGTCAAGGCATGTACCTCCAGGGCAGTGCGGCCGGCAGCCCGAGACAGCCAGACCTCCACGGACAGCGGCTGAGCGTCGGCATACTCAGGCTGGAGGCGGCAAAGGCGCGCATGCTCAGCAGCAAGAGCCTCGTCGGTCAGCTCTGTCAGGCGGGAATTGCTGCAGTCATCGCCGAATGAACAGTGCGGGTGGTAGCGGCATGCCGTACGAGACGGGATCTTCGGGCCCACAGGGAGGACCTTCAGGCAGTAGAAGTCGCGCGTGGCACGAGCACGGTGCCAATGAGGAAGGGCAGGGACAACAGCAGCAGCGCAACCGCCGTGATGAGCGCGAACAGCAACCAGACGATCACCATCCGCAGTGGCAGGCGCATCGCCCACATGAGATTGTTGAGGGTCAGCGCGATCAGGAACCAGAGGAACACTATCCTCAGCACGCCGGTTGTGAAGGCCAGGATCGACACGAGCTTCAGGAGGCACAGCGCGTGCAGCATGAGGAGCAGCACAGCCACCCGCAGAGCCTGAACCAGGACGGTCGGCAACGTCACCAAGAGCAGGGAGAGGGGCGCCACCAGCAGAACCACTAGCGGGAAGAATCTCACGAAGAGAGTGTTGAGCATCTTGAGGTCCAGGAGGTTCCGCGAGCCCGTCAGGCCGAACATCAGCGGCATGCGGAACGGCAGCACCACAGCCAGGAACGCCAGCAGGGAGCCGAGCACGCTCCTCGAAGATGCAGAGCTCGGTCTCGAAGTCGAGGTCAGGCAGGAAAGAGTCATTGTCCAGGTGCACCAGCTCGTTGGTGTAGGCAGTGAGGAAGTCGGTGTTGGAGTAGGCGGTGGTCACGTTGTGTGCGGCGATCGACGTGGCCATCATGCAGATGAGCTCATTCATCGTGTACGTGAGCTGGCCGATGCACGAGAAGAGGAAATCAATCGATAGAGACGCCGCCAAGGAAGGCGTAGCGGCGTCGGCGGGGGCCTCCATACGGACACCCGCACGAAGATCACCTGCCGGAGCGTCGACTGCATGGTCTTCCTCTCGTGGAGGGACACTGTCCTCTTGAGGTGGGACAGCGGGGGGCACCAACGTGTGGGCAAGGGCCTGGCCACCCGCGCGAGGCGGGGTTCGGTCGCGCTCTCCATCGGCATCGTCGCTGTCAACAGGTGCATCAGCCCGGCGAGGGCGAGGAGCAGCATCATGGTCCAATTGCCCAGGACGATCACGATCTCCCGCAGGGTCCCGACGTCCAGCACGGTCTCGAAGCCCAGAAGGGTCCCCAACTCCAGCACGGTCACGATCTCCAGCACGGGCCCGATGCCCAGCAGGAGCTCGGCGTCCAGCAAGGAGCTCCGCAGCATGGACAGCTGTGCCTTGAAGAGAAAGATGGTGGTGCTTGGCGGCGTCCGCCAGCTCCAAGGTCGAACGCGCTGCCGCATGGTCAGCAGGAGTAAGAGTCCCGCGGCGGAGAGCACGATGCGCAGCGACTTTGCCAGAAGCGGCAGGGGGCAGTCCGTGCGCGAGCCCATCCTCATCGAGTAGGCGGTGCAGGGCCTTGCCATGGGCCATGCGTTTGACGTCAGCCCTGTCGACCACGTCCACTTCGACGAATGCCTCCCCAGGTGCACTATGGGAAGTAGCATACCAGGCATCCCGCTCTCGGCGGCGACGTTGAGCGACGGATAGCGGGGCACCCGCAGCAGCGGTGGCCACCCATGATCTGTAGCTCGGCATAGAAGTACTGCCCGCAGCAGCGCCCACACAAAGGTGGGAAAGGAACAGGTGGATGATGAGCGCCACTAGGAACCAGCATGCGACGCCATTGCACAAGATCCCGCTCGCGGGCGGGCGCGCGCAGCCACCAGGAGCCACTGAAGGCTCGGAAGCTCTTGAGCCAAAATAGCTACGGAGGATGATGATGAGGAGGAGGAGGAGGAGGAGAAGGAGGAGGAGGAGGAGGAGGGGGAGGAGCACGAGGATGAGGATAAACGTAGGCCCATGATGCGCCAGCGATGCTGCAACGCACTCTCCCGTGCCAATTGCCCCCCTGACAAGTCCATACAACTAGTTCGTTTCCACTGCGGTCGGCGCCCCGACCGCCTCCTCCTCCTCCTCCTCTTTCTCCTCCTCCTCCTCCTCCTCCTCCTCTTCCTCCTCCTCCTCCTCCTCTTCCTCCTCCTCCTCCTCCTCCTCCTCCTCCTCCTCCTCGTTCCTCCTCCACTGCGGTCGGCGCTCGTTCCTTGAGTGGCGAGCGCCACGTGGGCCTGCAGCTCAAGCGCCATCCCGCTATGCAACTCGGACCCACCCTCTGCCCTTCCAGCTAGGATTCGCCGCCCCTGTCGGCGGCGTGAGTCGTCGTCGTCGTCGTCGTCGTCGTCGTCGTCGTCGTTGTCGTCGTCGTCGTCGTCGTGGTCGTCGTCGTCGTCGATGTCGTCGTCGTCGTCGTCGTCGTCGTCGTCGTGGTCGTGGTCGTCGTCGTCGTGGTCGTCGTCGTCGTCGTCGTCGTCGTCGTCGTGGTCGTGGTCGTCGTCGTCGTCGTCGTCGTCGTCGTCGTCGTCGTGGTCGTCGTCGTCGTCGTCGTCGTGGTGGTGGTCGTCGTCGCTCCCCCTCAAGCGTTCCAACCAAAGGGAAATCGAGCAACGTGGCAATCGAGTCGAAGGGACGCCCCTTCCCCCTGATGCCTCCCCTGCATGGGGCCGTGGGGCCGTGGGGGGGGGGCTCGGGGGGATAAAACGGGGGTCCGTGGGGGGGATGGGGGGGAGGCTTCTAGGGGCGGGGGTGGGTGGGAGGGACTCGGGGGCTGCGGCCCCCACGCCTGAAGGATACGTTTCTTGACTTAACTCGAGCTGCAGATGAGCTACAGAGCTCTTTGGCACAGCAATCGAAAGGAAACCATCAGGCGCGATAATCTAAAGTATCTAGACGCTTGAATTCGGTCTGCTATAGGAACACCCTTCCCTGGGATAGTGTTTCGGCTCCAGAGCGTCAGCGTCGTCGTCGTCGTCGCCCTTCGAGGTCGGCGGCACTGGCCGTAAGGCCTTCGCACTTTACGCGACGAGGTCGGATAGGAAAACTCATTGAGGTGTCTAGCGAGGCCTCCGATTTGGCAAGGATCTGCCCGTCAAGGTGTCGGGTAATTTATAACTCGTGGTTTGAAGCTGCGAAAGTCTCGAACGAACGCCGCATTTAAACAACAGAAGCAAAACTCTGTCCACCCGTGCAACCGCTGCGCAACTTGGAACGTTGTGTCATGAAGGTCGAAAGCGTCGCAACAGAGCACCGCATTTGGGAAATGATGAGACCCACGTCAGTGTAACTGTTGAAAACATGCTGAAACAATGTGCGAGGTGCTAAAGCGAACACCGCATTGTGAAAACGACAGCCCCTCCAGCCTTCCAGTTGGTGGAACTGTTTACGACGAATGCGCGCGGCGCGGAGGCGAGAACCGCATTCTGAAATCGAGCAGGCCTCCATCCTTGTAGGCGTCCTTCGGCACTCTCAGAACGTATGTGCGCGGAGGTGAGGCGAGAGCCGAACTTTGGAAGCGACTAGCCTTCCGTCCCTACAGTCGGGGCCCGACCATAAGAAACCTTCCCCAAGAAACCCAACCCTGAGACCCCAGGACGTCCATCGATTTTTGGTGTTGGAACGTCACGCTTCCCATGGCAAAACCATCGAAACCCAAGAAACCCAGGGCACCCTGGAGGCAAACAGGGTGTTTCTTGGCATGGCCCCCCACTGTATACGTGTCCGCTCTTCGCTTCAAGGTCCCGGTTTGAAGCAAGGCTTCCTCAGGCGACGCGCCAAGCCTGGCCCAACCGCGGACAGGCCTGGTGCCGCGACAAGGAGGCAGGGGAGAGAGGGAGGAAGAATGAGAGAGGAGGAGGAGGAGGAGGAGGAGGAGGAGGAGAAGGAGGAGGAGGAGGAGGAGGAGGAAGAGGAGGAGGAGGAGGAGGAAGAGGAGGAGGGGGAGGACGAATGAGGAAACGACGCTGCGGGCAAAGGGTGGACAGCTCAAAAGGGGGAGGATAATGATGATGAGGATGAGGAGAAGGAAGACAACGAAGTAGCGAGCACATGTGAAGACGCACCGAGTTCGAATTCGTGAGACCAAAAAACACATGGAACATATCAGCTGCACAATCTATCACATAACAAGGATCAGACTTGCCACAGAAGCAATCAGCCCAATCAAGCGTGGGGGATGCGACATCACCGACGCTCCGCCCAGGGCCCCGACGGACGCGTGCGAGACAGAAACAAAAGCCAAGCAAAAAGGGCGCAACGTACGGGATTTCCAGCGTACGTTCGTGCGCTCTCCCACGCGCGTTCCTACGCCCTTCCAGGGGGAGGAGGCGGAAGAGAAGGAGGAGGAGGAGGAGGAGGGGAGGAGGAGGAGGAGGAGGAGGAGGAGGAGGAGGAGGAGGAGGGAGGAGGAGAAGGAGGAGGAGGAGGAGGAGGGAGGAGGAGGAGGAGGAGGAGGAGGAGGGGGAGGGGGGGGAGGAGGGGAAGGAGGATGACAAGGGACAGAAGGAGGAGGAGGGTGGAAAGGAGGAGGAACCTCGTGCCCCCATCACCCCCCAGCCGCCCCTGCTCGCCCTTCGCCGGCACGCCCGCCTGCCGCGACCCAGAGCGCTCCGCACGCGGCTGTTCACGGTCCTCCCTGCGCCTCGGAACGCGGCAAAGAGGAGGGTGGCGGGGCAGGGCGGGTTTCCTCCTCTTCCTCCTTCCTCCTTCCTCCTCCTCCCTCCTCCTTTCCCTCCTCCTCCTATTCATCTCCTCCTTTTTTCACTCATCCTCCTCCTCCTCATCATCCGCCTCTACGATTCCTCATCTCCTTAACCTTTTTAATGCTACTCGCACCTACTTCATAATCATCCTATCCTCGTCCTCGTCCTCGTCACGTCTCGTCCCTTCTCTCTTCCCCCTCCCCTTGGGAATCGCCACGTGCTACATCGGGCTCCCGCAGTTCTGCACCCCCTCCTCCCCGACCCCGATGCGTTCCTCTTCTCACTCTCTTTTTTTACTTTTCCCTCCCGCCTTTCGCCTCCTCCTCCTCCTCCTCCTCCTCCCCCCTCCTCCTGACTCCTCATTCCCTGATTCCTGATCTCCCTCGCCCTTCCTCTGCCTCCTCCCCTCTCCCTTTGTCCGTCCTCTTCCTCCTCTCTCTCCCTCCTCCTCCTCCTCCCCCTCCCCTTGTCTCCTCCTCCTCTTCCCTCCTCCTCCTCCTCCTCCCCTTTGTCCTCCCCTCCTCCTCCTCCTCCTCCGCCTTCTGAGGCTCAGGCTGGGGACAGGTTCGCATCGATGCTCCGATGCCCTCGCACCCCCAGCCCCGCAAACTTTAGCGGGCTCCTCCTCCTCCTCCTCTTCTCCCCCCATCCTCTCCTCCTCCTCCTTCCCTCATCCTCCTCCTCCTCGTCCTCCTCTCCTCCTACTCCTCTCCTCCTCCTCTCCTCCTCCTCCTCTCGCTTCCTCCTACTCATCCTCTCGCTTCCTCCTCTCCTCCTCCTCCTCCTCCTCCTCTCCTCTCCTTCCCAATCCTCCTCCTCCTCCTACCTCCTCCTCCTCCTCCTCCTCCTCCTCCTCCTCCTCTTCCTCCTCCTCCTCACCTAAGAGGGGCACGGCGAGAGAAGAGAGGGGAAGGGGATGGAGGCAGAGCAGGGAGGCGGGGCATGAAAGCAATAGGACGATGATGCTGACGGCGACAACACCGAGGAGGCTCGCTCCCTCGCTATCTGCGCACGGCCAATTCTCGACTCACTCAAAACAGCGATAGACGCAGGGCGTTCGAAGGCACTGTGTTCCCGCCGGTGTCAAAGATAAGGGAGCACCTCACCCAGGCAAACAGCGGTGCAGGGTCGAACCGCGTGGTGATTCCAACGCCACTCGGATAACTCAGGGGCTTCTTGCAGGAGGTCAAAGGTCGTCTCGGTCTCAATGAGAAAGCATGGGCTGAGGGAGACACAGGCACGATCTATCGTTGAGAGAGAGGGAGAGAGAGAGAGAGAGACAGAAAACAAACAAAGATATAGAACGCAGAGCAGGAGAAATGCGCGGGGAGATCGGTCGCGATCTCCGTCATTTGACATGCGTGAGAGACCGTCTAACAAGCTTCGCGGTGGTCAGCGCGCCAAGCCTGGGAACGGCTAGATTGGCGGGCGTCACCAAAAAGGAGCGAGTCGTTCGGCTGGCCAGGCGCGTTGGAATTCCCTCTACAGATTGCCATGAGTTTCAGCTCGTCGCCTCTGGCCCAGGACGCGCAGTGATTAGTGATTCCATACGTACTGCTCTGATGGCAGACCTGGCGGTGTGCTCGAGCTCGAAACTGCGCGCGTCGTCGATGCGGAGTCTGGACAAAATCTCGGGGTCGGTGGCAATAACGCAGTTGGCGCGGCCCTGAGCGAGAAGAGCATGCTCTTGAACCGGACTGTGTTCCTTTAGATGCCGATCGAGATCTTCCTGCGAGCGCCATGCGATGAGTTTAGCGGCGCCAGCCACCCCAGGTCTCTCGACCATGGTGGACAAAACTTGACACTCGTACAAGTAGCGGCGGAGATACTGACAAAGAGACTCGCGCGTGCCATGGACCCCCTAAATGCACATGATACGTCTATGCTGCGTAATTATGATTGGCGATCCTGGCAACCTTCCGGGGACGGCGGCCGTCGCGACGGCAGAGGAGAGCTTGGGCATTCCATGAGAGAAACTGAACCTGCTGCCCTCCAGGCTCCAACTCCGCGGGCCGCCACCGGTAGTCAGAAACATACCGATGAACTGGTGTCGATCTCGCGGAAGTGGCTGTGGAAGTATATTCACAACCAGCCCCTCGTGCTGCCGAGAAATTCCGATGCTGATAAGTAGGGTCACGTAGGACTCACGTGAGAGCCTGTGCGCGTGGATCTCCTTCTTGTGCTCCTGGGCAGTCAAGGGCGAACTTTTTGCCAAGGGCATCGGGGCCGATGATGATGCTGATGATGATGCTGCTGATGATGCTGCTGATGATGCTGCTGCTGCTGATGCTGCTGCTGCTGCTGCTGCTGCTGATGCTGATGCTGATGCTGATGATGATGATGATGATGATGATGATGATGATGATGCTGCTGCTGCTGCTGCTGATGCTGATGCTGATGCTGATGATGCTGCTGCTGATGATGATGATGACGAGCTCCTTCTTGGCCTGCGCGTGGTCGAACCATTCGGCGAGACCTTCTATGACTGTTGGCTTGTGGCACTCCGTGGCAGTGTTGATGTTGAAGAGTCAGCGCCTCGTCGGCCTGCTCCACGTCGCGAGCCTCGCAACGCGGATCGGCCTCCGTGCTGCCGGCAGCCTCCGCGAGCGCCAGCGACTGCCCCACGCGCGCCGCCTTCTGGCACAGCTGCAGGTGCTGCGCCATCCCGTGTAACTCGGACACCCCCTCGGCCCTTCCAGCTAGAATTCGCCGCCCCTGTCGGCGGCGTGAGTAGTAGTCGTCGTCGTCGTCGTCGTCGTCGTCGCCGTCGCCGTCGCCGTCGCCGTCGCCGTCGTCGTCGTCGTCGTCGTCGTCGTCGTCGTCGTCGTCGTCGTCGTCGTCGTCGTCGTCGTCGTCGTCGTCGTCGTCGTCGTGCCTTGCGCGGCGCGCGCGGCCGCCTCCGATGGAGGTGCCTCGCGCCGCCGCCGCGGCCGACTGGCCCTGCACGCGGGTGGAGAGCTCCTGCTGGACGGTGGCCACGGCGGCCGGCGTGGAGGTCGAGAGGCAGGCCTGCACGTCGCGCTGGATCGTGGCCTGCTGCTTGCCGCTGGCCCTCGAGGGGCGTCGTTCACTCAAGGGGCCCAAGGACACACGAATAAATATACACAAATCTCAAGATTCCCGATCTTTTCCCATATTTTCTGAATTCTTGTCTTCCCCCCCACTTCCCATATTTTCCCATATTTTCCTGGGGGTCGACGATTAATTGTGCCTGTGTGTTTTCTCCCCTCCTGATTCGCGCGTCTCTCCGCTGCGGGGGCACCTCCGGCAGCTTGAGGGGGGACGTGGGCCTCGGGTTTGGGGGGCTCGGGTTGGCCTGACTGGGCCGCCAGGACAACGCCGAAACCCAAGCTGAAATCTGACGCGAGCTCCCGCTGCAGGCATGCTACGAAGACTGGGCCGTCAAAATCCAGGACCCGCGCGGCAGAAAGCGTCGGCAAATCCGAGCTCCGGCGCGCTCGAGTCTTGCGTTTCCCCGACAGCGCCCGGGGAAGGCCCAACGCCGCGCGCCGAGCCTCCTGCGGGCCCGGCGACGTCTCCTCCCGCAGACGCGGCGCCAGCGGCGGCCCCGCCCAGGCCAGCTGGAGGGTGCGCCGCGGCGCGGCGGGAGTGGGCGCGCGGGCCCCGCTGGCAGCCGATCCCACGGGATCGCCGACGGCACCGAGCGCGCAGCCGGCCCGCCGCCGCCACGACGCAACGGCGGCAGCAGCAGCAGAGAAGAAGTCCCAGGCGGCTTGGGCGCTCTGCTGCCGCAGCGACGGGAACGCCAAGGGGAGTCCGCTCTGCCTGGGCCGCGGCAGCAGCTGCGGCGGGAGCCTCCCGGGGTCCACTAGGGGGCCACATGCGAACCCTACCCCTACCCCCAACGATTCTGGGGGAGAGGGTGGGGTTCACTTCGTTCGGTAGCTCCCAAGCGGAGTGAACCCCACCCTCCCCCTCCGAAATCGTGGGGGGCGGGGGTAGGGTTCGCATGTGGCCCCCTATCCACGTCCCGCCGCCGCAGCGCGAGGCTGGCCGCCAGCACGGCGCCGACGCCGGCCGTGTCTACATTCGCCGTGCCCCTCCGCGGCATCCGCTGCGGGGCGGCCCCCCCGCGTGGCGCCGTGGCTTTGACCGGCGGACGGGCAGAGGCGCCACCTGCCGGGCGTTGCAGGTAGCGCGGGAGAGGACCGCCTGCAGAGCATCGCTGGTGGCAGGCTGGAAGGCCGTGCCAGGCTGCAGGCGGCCTCGCCTGCGGGGGCCTGGCGGCATCCCTCCAGCCTGGGGGCGGGCAGCCTTCCAGGGAAACATCTCGAGCTGAAATGGCTACGGGAGGGAGAGCAGCAGGCTTGGCTTGGCTTGGCTTGGCCCTGGCCCTGGAGGCAGTTCAGGAGAAAAAAAAACTAGCCACCATCGCCCGACTCCTCTTCAAAGTCGGGGTCCTCGGAAGCGGCCGACGCTCGCTGGATCGCTTGCCGACCCATCGCGGGCGCTCGCGGGCGGTCCTCGACCGCCAGCCCGAAAGCTTCGAGCACTTCGTCCCGCCCGCCCACCTCCCCCCCCCCAAGTCGAATGAGACAGGGCGGAGTCGCTGGTGGGGTTCGCCGCCGCGTCAGCTTGCACCTGCGTGCTCTCTCTGGCCGCTGGCAACACCCCGTGTAGGCGGGAAACAAACAAGTGCTCCACCACTGCTCTGTAACGGGGGAGCTCTTCTTGGCAAATTCGTCGGAACTGTTCCTGGGTGCCTTTTGCCCACACGGCCAGAGCACCCTTCAGAGATCGGCGCTGTCAACTCACCGTCCGAACTCACAGCCCCGCAACGGCAGCAAAAAAGGATGCACTTGACCTTGGGGCTCGTGCCTTCTACGTCGTCCTGCAGCAACAGGTGCTGCCTCCACTTGGAACTCACCCGCGAAAACTTCTCCCACCCTGGCCCCGCAGACAACCCCAAAACCTAAACCCCGAGAGCCCCAGATCCTCGGGCGGATCTTGCTCGGGCTGAAGGCCGAGGCCGGCGGGACTTTTTGGCAGGAGAAGGAGCCTGGCTCTGGCGCTGGGCGAGGCAAAGCTCCATGCGATCCTCGTGGTCCTGCTCATCCGCCTGAATGTGTGCCCCTGTAGCCCAAGCGGCCGCCTCGCGCGCGCACTCGGTCAGGTCTCGCCAGAGCTCATTATCCCAGTGCGACCCTACCTAGGAGTTGGAGGATCTAGGAAAGCAACATCTATATCTAAACCGAAAGCTACATCAACATCTATACCTGCATCTACATCCACATCAACATCATCAGCGACACTCACATATACATCTACATCTACACCTACATATACATCTACGTCTACATCAACATCTATATCTACAACTACATCTACATCAGCATCTACATGTTCGTATTGGTTTTGTTTTTGTTTTGCATTGGCTTGCTTGCTTGGTGTGTTTTTCCTTTGTGTGTGTTGCTATTGGTGTTGCTTTATGCTTTGTTTTTGCTTTTGGTGTTTTCTTTTGTCGAAGCACGCGCTTCGAGGCGCGACCCTGCCGTGCTTTGCCTTTGCGTTCTCTGCTGTTGCTTTGCCTTTTCTTTGCTGTTGTGCTATGCTATGCTCCGCTGTGCTGCGCGGTGCTATGCTGTGCTGTGATGTGCTGCGCTATGCTATGCTATGCTATGCTATGCTATGCTATGCTGCGCTATGCTATGATATGCTTGGCTTTGCTATGATATGCTGTGCTGCGCTGTGCTGTCCTACGCTCTGCTATGCTATGCTGTGCTCTGCTATGCTAAAGCTCAGCGAAGCTAAGATGAAGGTAAGCTAAGCTAAGATAAAACTGAGGTAAGATTAAGCTAAGCTCAGGTAAGATGAACTACGCTAAGCTAAGATGAGATAAGCAACGCGAAGCTAAGGGAACGTCACTGGGGGTACCGCGGGGCGGATGCCGGGGGAACCGCCCGGGGCGAGCCCCACTGTCCGGCCCTTTAAGCTTAGCTATGCTATGCTAAGCTGCGCTATGCTATGCTATGCTATGCTATGCTATGCTGCGCTATGCTATGATATGCTTGGCTATGTTATGCTATGCAATGTTATGCTAATGCAGCGCTGCGCTATGCTAAGTTAAGCTAAGCTAAGCTAACCCTCTAAGCAGAGCCTAGGTAGGGAATTACACCCATGCTATGATATGCGATGCTGCGCTATGCAATGCTACGCTATGCAATGCTATGCTGTGCTCTGCTATGCTAAAGCTCAGCGAAGCTAAGATGAAGGTAAGCTAAGCTAAGATAAACCTGAGCTAATATGAAGCTAAGCTAAGATGAAACAAGCTAAGCTAAGATGAGATAAGCAACGCTAAGCTAAGGGGACGTAACTGGGGGAACCGCGGGGCGGATACTGGGGGAACCGCCCGGGGCGAGTTGCACTGCCCGGCCCTTTAAGCATACCGAGTAAGAACCCTTCTAGGCAGAGCCTAGGGCCTAGGTAGGGAATAGAAGGTTTGGCCGAAACCGTGTCGGCTGCTTTGTCTGCTCGCTGCTCCCGCTCCGTGGTGCGCCCCGAGCCCACATCGGCGCGCGTGCAATTGGCTTTCGTCTTGTGCATGCTGATGTCCGGCGACTGGAGCGATGCCCCAAACTGGCCCCAAGAGTGCACGCGCTGATCTCCGCTGCCCGCCCCAACCCCGTCCCCCGCCAAACAGAGCTTACTGTGCCAGCACAATCGGTGCAGACAGCGAAGGGGCGCAGAGCTACTTGCGTCATCCTGGCAACAACATGGTCTTCGGCGTCTCTCGCCGTCTGTCGAGGAGCAGCCGCCGTCGGAGAGAGCCCACATGCTGCGGCCTCGACTCGCCCGAATCTATCTGCCTGGACTACTGCCCAGCCCGCA